TTGTTAGTTGGAGATTCTTTCGCTTCTTGTATCTTTGTCTCCTCGGGCACGCTCCCCTTTTGAGCACTTCAATGAAATTTACTTTTACTTGTCAATATATATATATATATATATATATATATATATATATATATATATATATATATATATTGCAATTTCTTGTGTATCTATTTCTCATGCTTCTATCATTTATTGAAAACTAAACAAGAGAAAATATTAAGACCACACACATATATTTCTATTTGGGAAACCCTAAAACGGAATCGAGGCATGAATAATCGCTATTAGGAAAGGTTTTTACAAGCTTATTATCATATTATAACCCTCTAGAGTCACCAGCTACCTCTTATCCAGGTTCATGCAAGTTGTTCTTCCATGAACACTGCTGTTGTTGATGAACGAATACATGCTTCAAATGCAATTCCTCCTCTTTGTCTATGTTTGTTCCTCTCCACTTGCACTTGTGACAGACGTTGCATGTCTTTTTTTTGATAAGTGACAAACGTTGAATATCATAACCACTTGTATATAAATAATGTTCTGTAAAACCCTAAGGGTACTATAGTTTTAAATTGCTAATTTATCCACACACACACACACACCAACAACAACAACAAAAAAACAAAAACAAAAACAAAATGGTTGAAGAACTATCAGACTTAAAAGAAACAGTCATCTTTTCCTTTTGTTGTGTATGTATATGTTTTTTTTTCAAAATTTAAGTCGTTGGTGGGGCCAAGTCTGGGCCTTGGGTCATCAGGACAAATTTACGCCCCTAGTGTCAAAAAGCAGCAAACTGGGAAAGGAGATGAAAATGGAGAGATTGTATAGGTTATGGTTTGTTGTGGTATTAGTCTGTAGTTGGGGAAAAGGGTTCCTCCTCTTTCTGTCTAAATCACCTCAATGTTAAGCTTATTACATTTTGAGCCCAGATGTGCTAGTTTCAAGGATATAGCACTTTGAAGGTCTAACCATCCAAAAGAGAGGATAACTGCTCTGTAGTTTTGCGAGGTCCAATTGTTCTCAAATAGGTCCGTTCAGTGAACATAAAAAAAATCAGGATTTGGTTGAGATTATGCAACTTTATAGCTTAGCTGGGGAGATTGCAATTGCTTGCTGTCTTTTGATTTCCTTTAATTTCTATTTTATTCTATATTGCTTTCTGTCTTTATGTTTCCTCTAATTTCTAGTTTATTCTACATATTCTTCTTAATACTCTTTGTATTCTACCATTATTCTTTTCCTTTAACCCTTTGTAGTTACAAAAAGATTTTCCATTTTGATCAAAAGTGGTGGCAAATTGTGTTAACAAGTCATGTTCATGTCGAGACAGGTATTCTATTATACGTGTCAACCCAAACACAAATCATTTATTATTCATGTCAGAAACCCTCAACACAAACACGTCCAATTTATTGAACAGGTAATATGGAACAACCCATACATCCTGTTTAATATTAAATGGGTTGTGTAGCCCTCTACACAACACAACCCGTTTAATATTTTTATTAACTACAAAATGCAAATATAACAATTAAAGTTAAAATATTAAATGAAAATTAAGAATTTACCAAACCTTTTATTTCATCTTAATAAATTGGGCAAATTTTTCAGAACCCCCAAAACTATTAAAAAGTGATCATAAAACCCCAACCAGTTTTAAAAACCCCCAATAATATAGCAGCGTTATCATTTTACCCTAACTCTGGCAATTGGCCCCGTTAACCCGACGCGTGGTTAACAAATGCTTTGACAAATTGACTTTTGTGACGAAAATACCCCTGCTGTCACTTGTGCCAAACAAGTGATGTGTATTAAAATGTGTTATACCGAAGATACCCCCAAGCTTGTAATAGTAAAAACACACCCACAGTGTCATCGTTTTAGTTCATCTTCTCTCCTCCATTAGTCTAGGATGAGGTAGCTGGTTATGGGTTCGATCATGGGTTTAGGATGTCCACGAAACCCATTTCAGTCTGGTGCATTTCTTTTCCGCGAAACCCACTTCAGTCCGACAACGTGCATGTCCACGCTACCTCGGCCCAACATTGCAAAAACCCAACAGCGAGCTCCTAAAACTGAAACGACGGTGAAGGCGACGGCGACACAACAGAGTACAAAGACTTGCACGGTTCTACATTGACCAAAGCTGAGTTCGTGAGATTGAAGCCTTCTTCATGGCCGTGGAGTGTTGCATCACCGTGGCGACTATATTGTAGCAATGGAGTGTCGCACCGCTGTCGCCGTTACGCATGCTCACCGGTGAAGTTGGTTGCAGTCAACGGAACTATTTGGTGAAATTTTGGAGTTTGTTGCTAAAAAGTTCGTGGGTATCTCGAAGCTTGATGAAACTGTTCCGAGGTTTGCTCTCATTGGCTTCAATGGAGGTTTTCAGGTGGCCGATGGGAGATAGGAAACTTGTCAAATTTGCTGGAGCTTTTGACCAACAATTTTTTTACTTTTTCGATACCTTCAACCATAGAAATTTATCAAGTCTCATGATAATAAATCTCTCTAACAACCATCTGAGTGGGACCATTCCTCCATAAATAGGTTACATGAAAAGCTTAAAATAAACAAACAGTGTACGTATTGCACTAAAAATGAAGTTGCGCGCACCTCTTCGTATATTGACCTTAAATTGTGTGGTTCCTGCAAATTTTTTTTTTTACCTTAGATCAAACATGTATTTTACTAAAATAATGACAATACGAAATTAAGTTTAGGATGAGGTAGCTAGTTATGTGCAATACGAAATTAAGTTTAGGATGAGGTAGCTAGTTATGGGTTCGGTCAGGGGAGACGAGGCGGCAGAGAGAGAGGACGTTGAGGTGACCTGTGGAGTCATAGAAGGTGGAGGTGGATGTGGAGCAAAAGGAGGTTTTGTGGCGATGAGGGTGGGGGAGTCGGAGGAGGTGGTGGCGGTGTCGACGACGGTGGTGGGGTTGTCGAAGGAGGAGGGAGTGATGTGGGTGACGTGGCCGAAGAGGATGCCATCCACGTCACCTGGAGAGGAAGAGAAACATTGGATCAAAGAGGCTAATGTGGGGCCCGATATTTGTATCTTCCGTAATGGAAGGTCATCCATGGCTGCCATGCTAGAGAGAGAGAGGAGTGAAATTTGTGCGACGACGTCGTTTGAATTTAATATTGTACCCATTGTTAGGTACACTGTGGAGGATAATATTGTAATTTCAAATATATGATTTTTTGGTTTTTTAAATAAAAGGAAATATAATAAGGGTAATTTAGTCATTTCACATACCCTTAACGGCCAATTACCAGAGTTGGGGTAAAATGATAACGTTGCTATATTGTTGGGGGTTTTTAAAACTGGTTGGGGTTTTATGATAACTTTTTAATAGTTTTGGGGGTTTTGAGAAATTTGCCCTAATAAATTACACAGTTAACTTATTTGGGTTTCATAATGATTCCATGGACAAAAATAACCATATTGATTTAAATATGTTAGTACTTATTAAACGGGTTGACCTGATACTTCTAGTTAAATGAATCTAATCAGATTGAAACAGGTTATGGGTTGATTTGGCACGATTAACTAAACAAGTCAAATTTGGTTAAACAGGTTAAGTCCTCAAACCCAAAAATGACACGATTAATTGGGTTGACGTGAACAAAATTAAGGTCAACCCGAACCCAGTAATTCCATGTTAGGTTCGAGTTGTATTTACAGGTTGTTTCCAATTTTACCATCCTCGAGTCTGATGAATCTTAAACTCCTTCCGTGAGTCTTCTACAATCCTTAATCGCTCTTAAACCAATTTATTGTGAGACCTAAACCCTTATTTTTCAAACTAATTGTTAGCATATATGATAGCCACGATTTATGGAATGACTTACCATAATAGCAGAGATTTGATTATGCTGTAGAATATGCCATAGAATATCCTGTTGATTTAAATTTGATTCAGTTTCCTTTCTTGTAATATGAGCATGTGCTCGTTTTATCTATAAATACTAGAGCTGTGAATGAGTGATTTATATCTCATTCAAACCTTTTACATATTCTCTCCTTCTTTTTATAATTCTACTTGGTATCAGAGCCAGGGTGGTCCGACTGCAATGAGGGCATTGTGAGTTTGGCACCACCCATTCAGGAATGGTCTAATGGCCATCTGGGAGGTATTGAGTAGGAAGGGCGGTCCGACCTTAATGAGGGCGTTGCGAGTTTGGCATTCAGAAAAGGTCTGAGAAGACATAGTTGTTTCTTTTTTATGGTCTGAGGAGACATAGTTATTCTTTTTTATAGTCTGAGGAGACATTATTGATTCTTTTATCTACATTGTTTAAACATATGTATTAAGGGGAATGGTCTTCAGGAGACATTGTTGATTCTTCCATTTACATGTTTTAAACATGTGAAGGGAAATGGTCTCAGGAAACATTGTTGGTTGTTTATGGTCTGAGGAGACATGATTGGTTGTTTATGGTCTGAGGAGACATTTTCGATTTGTTGATCGGCACTTCATTTGAGAGAAAATCATTGCTAGTCAGATTTTCACCCTGCAACTTGTAGATTCTTACAAAGGGCGTCAGCAAGATTGTGTTTGAGAATGCATTGTCCAAGTTGGGCGTTTCAGATATCCACGCACTAACTTGAGGGGGAGTGTTAGCATAAATGATAGCCACGATTAATGGAATGACTTATCATAATAGCAGAGATTTGATTATGCTATAGAATATGCCATAGAATATCCTGTAATTTGATTTAGTTTCCTTTCTTGTAATATGAGCATGTGCTATTTTTATCTATAAAAACTAGAACTGTGAATGAGTGATTTATATCTCATTCAAACCTTTTACATATTCTCTCCTTTTTCTTGTTATATTTGTACTCTAATGGTGCTTGAGTTTTTGAAGGTTCTTTCTCACATCCATTTCATTTGCAGCCTGTTTAATTTGAATCCTTGGATGGAAATCGTTTTGTTCAAAACGTCAATATTAAGTTTTAGGACTCAGTGAGTTATATATTTATGCAGATTGTTGCAGTGAAATCAATTCCTCTGCTCAAATTTAACTCTCAGATTCTTCAGGTATGCGTTTGTTTGCATGACATAAATAATTCTCCATTCTACATTGGCTTGATTCAAAGTTACGGAAGTACTGATATCACTATTGCTGTGCAGGAGTCCATCGTTAAATTGATCAATGGAAATCCCCAAGCTGGATGGAAAGCTTCCATGAATCCTCGATTTGATAATTACACTGTAACTCACAAAACTTATTTATGTTAAATCTTTCAAATTCGGTTATCAACACAAGACTTCTACTTTTGTTCTATGCTTGACTGTTACCTGGAATTTTTTTCTTTTTTCCTTTGGTTCTCAGGTTGGCCAATTTATGCACCTCCTCGGTGTCAAGCCAACACCACACGGTGACTTGAAGAATATTCCTATTATTTCTCATCCAAAAACTCTGAAGTTGCCACGTAAATTTGATGCAAGAACGGCTTGGCCTCAATGTAGTACCATTGGAAAAATTCTTGGTGAGTTACTTGCCTGGACTTTATTAGTTTTTTATTCTTTTCATGAAGGTGCTAATGCTTTCCCTTTTTCTATGGCAACGCCTGGAATCATTTTATGACTAAAGATCAGGTGATTCAATTTATCATTCCTCACACAATTTTTAATTCATTCCTATAAGTGAGCCTTGTGGAATTCCAGCTGATCTGAAATTTTTAAATTTTATCAGGGTCATTGTGGTTCTTGTTGGGCTTTTGGTGCTGTTGAATCACTCTCCGACCGTTTCTGCATCCATTTCAGCATGGTTAGTTATGGATAACAAACTTTTGAAAAGTTATTTAATATGTAATAAGCATGCCTTCATCTATTCTTTATATGTTTTCTTGCAGAATATTTCTCTCTCTGTTAATGATCTCTTAGCTTGCTGTGGCTTTATGTGCGGTGGTGGTTGTGATGGTGGTTATCCTATTTATGCATGGCGATACTTTGTCCACCATGGTGTTGTTACTGACGAGGTAAAAACATTTTTAATTCGCCATGGAATGCGCCGTGTATTTTGGAAAAAGGCTTTGTTGAGTGAATTATACTTTTTCATAAAACCATGACCGTAATTTGGTTATTTTCCTAAAGATTTTAGACTCTCTTGCGTAAAATGTAGAGTTCTCTGTTGTTAATTATAGTCACACTCGTTGCCAGTAATTTCGTTAGTTGTTTGTCCCTTCAGCTTGACATGCATAGCACTAATGAATTTTCTTGTGGCAGTGTGACCCATACTTTGATAATACTGGATGTTCTCACCCCGGTTGTGAACCTGCATATCCTACCCCAAAATGTGAGAGGAAGTGCATAAATAAGAACCTGCTCTGGAAAGAGTCAAAACACTTCAGTGTTGGTGCATATAGAATCAATTCAGATCCTTACAATATCATGGCAGAAGTTTATCAGAATGGACCAGTTGAGGTCTCCTTCACTGTTTTCGAGGTAAAATAAGTCTCTCACACAATTACAGTGCAATTTCCAGTTTGGCAACCAATTGTTTTGTTCTCAAAGCTGAAGAAATTTTGTCCGTGCTTTGTACATAGCGTACCCCTTGGTGGAGGAAGTTCAGTGCGATCCTCACATAGAATGAGATCATATTGGATAACTTATCCTCGGTGGGAGTAATTATACTGCTTGAATGTTCACTTAAAAAAGAATATGAATTCACGTTCCCGGAAATGTTATCCCATATATCATTTTTTTTTCTTTTATTTGTATCTACTCACATCACCCAGTAACAGAATGCTCCGTATATGAAAGAATTAGTTATGAAGTTGTATGAATTTGTTTTCTTTGTTTTCTTTTCTTTTTTCTTTTTTATATTTATTTTTCTTTTTGGTGCATGTCCTATATTGTTGTTTGATTGCTATTGTTTGTTTCGTACAGGATTTTGCTCATTACAAGTCGGGAGTTTACAGACACATGGCAGGTGATGTCATGGGAGGTCATGCTGTAAAGCTAATTGGATGGGGAACTACTGATGATGGGGAGGATTATTGGGTATGTTGAGATATTCCTACTGCCTAATATAATCTTCTGGATTTTAAGTGATGGCCATTTTTTTCTCATACGATCCTATTTTGTACTTTCACTGTGTTGTAGCTTCTTGCAAATCAATGGAATAGAAGATGGGGTGATGTATGTTTTGGATCTACTCTTATTATTTATTTTTCAAAAAAATTCTGCCGTAATTAAATACTCCAAAACGTGGTCCTTTTATATCCTAAACTATGATTATAATGACAGGATGGATACTTCATGATCAGAAGGGGGACGAATGAGTGTGGCATTGAAGATGATGTGGTTGCAGGTTTGCCTTCAACCAAAAACTTAATTAAAGAATTTGCTAGCACGGATGCTGATGAAGATGTCTCAGTTTGACAGTAAATTTCCACACGAAAGACGAAATATTTGAAATAATGCATATAGGCATATGTGGTGTGAATGAAATGAAACCTGGGAGATGGATCCTTGATTGTTTGTATGTTTTAACGGTAGTCATGAAGCTGGTTATGTGTGGAGATAAAAAGTGACAGCTTAAGTGCATGTTGTATCTATATACCACATTTAATATGCATCATTACTAGTTGGATGCATGATGTATTCCATACAGATGATGAATAAGAATAAGATATAATTATGTTCATGAATTTTCAGTTCCTTTTTTTCATTTGTATGAAAGGATAGAACACTCGCTAGAGGATGGAACCTGACTCAGACTATTGAAGTTTGGTAAGATGTGTCTGATGCGCGTGCGCTTCCTTCCAAAATGAGTGATTGCTTAAGATCTTTAGTTCAACTGCATTGCTATCCGTTTGAGTTAAAGCCTTTTAGGAGTTTGGATAGCTATTGCCAAATTTTCCAAAAACAAAGAAGTATTCACATGAAAGTTCCTCTTTATTTTTGTAGCTTTCCATTATGCCCAGACTTTTTCTCCACTTATCTTTTTCAGTTTTTATCATTTCCGCGCTGTCTTAACGTTTCTATGTTTTGCAAAGTTTTATGTTCTTGGCTGAAACATTGATAAACTTTCTAGGTAGATCTTGATTCATAATGTAATTACAATTTTTTTTCTATGTTGCAAAGATATGATGCGATCTGAGTATTTGTTACGAAATTTTATATATACATAATGATCTCTTGTTTTATAAGGAGTAAAAAAATTCATCCACACTTTTCGTGACGACACTATCAATAAATAAATCTAATAATGGTCACATTTCAAATCAACTTATATCATTTATTTTTAATACAAAAACAATCTCTACCTATTTTTAATTTCCAAATTTAATAAAAACCTCTCAGGCTCACTTCACCTCTTTCCTCCTCTTTCTCAGTCTCACCACTCTAGTTCGACTAATACAACAAAAATGTCGACCAAAATATTAATCAAATCTTAAGAGAAATAATATTTAAAACAAAGAAATGATATGAAACTGGCTTTTTCTTTTTTCGTTTCATTTTTTTTTTTTTTTTTTTTTTTGGGGCAATGTGCCAAAAACCCCTCTACATTATTTCAAAATTGCAATCAACCCCCTTGGATTATTACCTGTCTCACATCACACCCTAAACTATTAAAAAGTTGCACTGTGACTCCCACCAAGTGATAGACGTCAATTTTTGACAGTGAAAGGGTCAAAATTACTTACTTACCCCTACTTATGAATTTATTGTAAAAGTTATAAAATATCATAATTGTAAAATATTGAAAAAAACCCTCCAGGGGTACATCTTGCAACTAATCAATAGTTCAATTTTTTTTTTTTTTTTTTTGCCATCCAATACGGATGTTTTTGGTTGGTTTGATAATATCTCGAGACAACCTCGAATAAGTTAACGCCCATGCCTTGGCATTTGAAGAATGAACGTAATTGGTCATCTATTCTAAGGAAGAGGATAGAGACTTTATCATTTAATAATTTACGGGTCGCATCATTGGGGCATCCTCAAACACGACTACTCCTTTCTAAAAGGCGAATTGAGCAATTAGAATTTCCTCCCTTATTCAAGGGACAAACTCATAAAGCTCGAGAAAACCTAATCCCTTATTAAGGACAAAGTTACGAAACTCGGCATAAAGGGCGATCTCATGAAACTCGGAAAATCCACTCTCTTATTAAAGGGTGAGCTCATAAAGCTCGGGAAAGCCTACTCCCTTTTGTAAGGGTGAGCTCATGAAGCTCGGTGATATACACATCCCTTATTAAAGGGCGAGATGAATGAAACTCGTTAAATATATTTCCCTTATTAAAGGGCAAGCTAAGTGAAGTTCGTAAAAAATACTCTCTCTTATTAAAGAGTGAGCTGAGTGAAGCTCGACAAATTCTACTTCTTTTATTAAAAAGACGAGCTTCGCAAAGCTTGGAATACCTACTCCTTATTAAAGGATTAGCTAAGTAAAACAACTTCATTGTTAAAGAGACTAGATGAGAGCAATAATACATGCTTAGCTCGGATAAAAAACAACTTGTACCAACAAAAAAAAAAGAAAACAATGTCTAACATTCCTAATGCTTGATGAGCAAGCTCAGGAATGGGAGGCAACTAATAAGGATAATTTAAATAGGATAGTCCAAACAAATTGGATAAGGTAGTCCAACTACAATTGACTACTTTAAAATTGAATGAAGGCGGATGAGCAAATAATAAGAAAATAATAATAAATCAAACTTAAAAGGAAAGGTCTACTCGAATGTCTCCTCAAATCTCCTCGTATCCCAACAAATTGCAACAATTGCACTAGCGTATCGTTATAAATACGACCTCTCACCAACCAAACACGAAGAGGCAATTAATATATTAAATTCCTGCTTTACTTCAAAGCTGGCTTGATCATCGGAGTGTTCTTGGCAGACACCACACTAGTGTCGATCAAGGTTCATCTCTTTGTTGCAGGGAAACGATGTTGCTCTAAATAGTGCACAATCTTGCTTCAACAGTTTTTTGCACTGGCAAGGTTCACCCACATCAAGCCTCTAGCAAAGGTCTCCAACTAACACCAGATAGGGTCCTCCACCTAGGCAAGGCAAGGTCTTCCATTAAGGCAAGTGGAGGGAAATTTTTCCACCAATCATAGCACACCACATGTCTGCAAGAAAATAAAGGCCCAACATTGGAGTGACCAGCCCAGAGGCCCAATGTTGGAATAAGAGCAATCAAGAGCCTGCCAAAGGAGACATCAAACCTCAAGCCGGTCCAAGAAGAGGAAACAAAGCCTAGCCCGAGTTCAGTTAAACACCCCAGTAATGCCTGTCATGAAGGGAGATCCAAAAAATCAGGGGCCATGATTGCTCACGTACAAAATTGTCAGTAACAGCCTTAAGAAAACCTCTGTGTAAACATATAAACAAGAGATCAGTAACCAAATAAAAGGCATCCATTCTTCCTGCTCATATTTCTTCTGTTAAGCTTGCCTAAATCTTGTCACAATTCATTTACCATTATTTTTGAATTTATTTTATTTTAAGTGTCTCAGTGTTTAATTCCTCAAATTGGATCCGAAGTCCAGTATGGGAAATTTTTGCACCTACACTTTGGCGCAGTCTGTGGGAAACACTACAAAAAAGCCTATCACCATTACTTTACATGCGACATGACTCTAGAATGGCGACAGGATCAGATGCCGTTCAGCTTTAACAACTGGAAATCGTGCAGAAAATGTGTGAAGAGATGCAAACGCAATTTGACATCTTACGACAAGCCAATGAGGCCATCACCGAGCAGATTAATGCGTTAAGACAAGCCAACGAGACTAACATAGTACAAATCAATGCTTTGCATTAGAAGAATGAGGAACTCCAGGCTACCACCCAGTAGGCCAATTCACCCCCTAGTGGAACATCGACCAATGCCGCTTGGTCCTCTGCCCGAACATCAGAAGGAGCTGGTAGATCCACCACCAGTGCCAGACGAGTTTCGAGAGTTGGTTGGGTCATTTATGTGAGTTCAGGACTCTTAGAAATGCATCGTTGGCCATTTTGGCATTTTTCAATTTTTCTGGCCTGGAGGCTCCGGGCAGGACCCGTAACCGGATTTGTTGTGCACGAGGATTATGATTCGGGGTCATTGCATTTCATACATATTTATTTGATGTATATTTATGTGGATATATGTTTGGATGTGTGGTTGTAATGTGTTTGGTAAAAAGTCTGTTGGTGTTGGGAAACCTGCTGGAATTAAATCTAACTTTGACAGTACCATCAGGAAATTGAGAGATGTTCTCCAACCTTTTGCTTTCAATTTTTGAAGGAGGGACCGCATGCTCGAGCGTCCATTCTTCTGGGAAGGTGACTTCTTTCCAAGTTATGGTTTTACGAGCATAAGTATGTGAATTTTCATTACTAGCATAGAGAATGAGGGTTTCTCCCTTGGGAGACTCACGAAGAGCTAAGGGACTTAACACTGCTATCATGCTTACTCATAGAGACTGTAGGCATCTCAATTTTTGAAACCTCTTTGTTAGGGGTATGCCAAACTAACCTTTTCGATGGTCCGCAATACTTCAATTGTTTTTCAAATTACTCAGTAGCTCTTGATGACCCAACAATCTTCCATACTCTAACCCTCAATGTCTCAAGTAGTGGTTATGAAATGATGGACGGAGCTATATCTTTCAATGTTATTTATAGAGTCTATTACAAAGTCATGACTACGCAGGTCAGCCCTTTCATTCTCCATGCTAGTGATGAAAATTCACATACTTATGTTCGTAAAACCATAACTTGGAAAGAAGTCACCTTCCTAGAAGAATGGACGCTCGAGCAAGTGGTTCCTCCTTCAAAAATTGAAAGCAAAAGGTTGGAGAACATCTCTCAATTTCCTGATGGTACTGTCAAAGTTAGATTTAATTTCAGCAGGTTTCCCAACACCAATAGACTTTCTATCAGAGAAATAGAACCACGTAGATCATCTTATTCTCAAGCCTCTTTCTCTCAAACACACTTTTCAAAAGTCCCTTACAGAAAATCATTTTCAGGACTACTTATATGTGATACCCCTCGGATCCGAGACACGGGTTGGTCAGGCCCAGGCCCAAACCCGAGGGAAATATCAAACAATTAAAGTATTTTAAAGCGAGTACAGAATAAAAAGATTTAAATAAGAAAACAGAAAGAGTTATGAATATAAAGTCTTCCAATTGATACTGAATAATAAAACTCTAAAGCACGAGTGCGGCGATCCGCAAAACTCTTTTGCTTACTCTGGGCAGTGCGCATGCGATCCCTAATAAGAGCAATTTTCTCAGAAGTATCATTGATGAATTCAGGACCCAAGAATCTACTCTCGCCAACCTCCAACCAATAAACAGGTGATTGACACGGTCGGCCATATAACGCCTCAAATGGTGCCATCCCAATAGTCTTCTAAAAACTATTGTTATATGCAAACTCCACAAGTGGAAAATAATCCTCCCAGTGGCCCTTGAAATCAAGAACACACGATCAAAGCATATCCTCCATGATTTAGTTAACCCTCTCAGTCTGTCCATCAGTCTGAGGATGATACGCAGTGCTAAGATGCAACTTTGTACCCAAAGCCTACTGAAAACTCTTCCAGAATCCTGACACAAAGCTCGAATCCCTATCCGATATAATAGACAATAGAATTCCATGCAACTTCACAATCTCTGAAATGTAAAGTCTTGCCAACT